ATTATCATGATGTTTTGTGCTTGGCAGGTACGCACAAAAATTTCTGCAGTAGCTGCCTGCACTTCTGGTTGAGATATACTTTAAGTGACGCGTGGTGGTTATTTTCCCTTCAGGAGTTGGAGCCCTAGTCTGGGGGTGGAAAATGGCAATAACATGGACACCTCTGTTCTTGGAAATGAAGTAACCACTTGGGTTCTCAATAAACAATAAATTGCAGTGCGTTACAATCCTAAGAAAAGCTCCATGGCCAAGAGTTCATCTCATCCTTCCAAGGGTTTTACCATTGCTTCTGAAATATTATGGCAATATTCCACGAATAGCCATCCCAGGTACATTCTGATATTTACTTTTAATGTGCCATGCCCGCAAGAGTTTAATTGTGGAATAAATGAACCGGGCATGGGAGTTTTATCCTAGTAACAACATACAATTTTGTTTAATCATGTTGAGCTGTAAACTAAGCTTTGATAGACCTGTATAAAATTGAAAACCCAAGTTAATGTCAGAAGTTCCGAGAAGAAGAAGGTTCTTTAGCTGCAACACAAATCCCTGGGAGAGGACGCTGAGAACACAGACCCTGAACACCTCTTTGAGAAAGGCTTGCTAGCAACTGAAGCCAAGCCACACATAGGTGTCTGATATCAGGGACAGTTAAGAAGAATACGGAAGAGAATCCAATATTTGTTTTCTAAGGGCATAGGCTTCCTTCTCCACAGTGGAAAAAGCCACAGATGAGAAAAGCCTGGTCCCACACTGCTCTGATCAGTCTCTCTGGGGTGCCAGCCCTTGGGGAGAAAAATGATGCCAGGTGCTCACCAAACCTACTGCACATCCCCTGAAGATGGTGAGCCTTGCAAAGACGTCTGGGCTTGTCCAGCATCTATGTAAAGTCATCCAGTTTTGTTCAGTTCTAATGACTTTCTGATTAGAAACATAAACGTGCGTGTGTGCGTACACGCAGTGTGATGTATGTGTAATTAATATACATGCAGTTAGTTATATGTGTTTATTTTTTATTCATTTATTTATTTTTTTGCGGTACGCGGGCCTCTCACTGCTGTGGCCTCTCCCGTTGCGGAGCACGGGCTCCGGACTCGCAGGCTCAGCGGCCATGGCTCACGGGCCCAGCCGCTCCGCGGCATGTGGGATCTTCCCGGACCGGGGCACGAACCCGTGTCCCCTGCATCGGCAGGTGGACTCTCAACCACTGCACCACCAGGGAAGCCCCCCCTCCCCCAAAAATTCTGATATACACAAATGAGTGTGTTGAATGTAATGCAGATGTTTTCATTAAACTTGGCTTTTTACCATCTAGAATTTACTCCTTCACTTTGAAATGCTTACCTAAAAATTATTTATATCCCTGGAGAATGTTTTCATTCCTTTAGAAATGATTTTTTTTTTGGCTGCACCTCATGGCTTGCAGGATCTTAGCTCCCTGACCAGGGATCGAACCCATGCCCCTGCAGTGGAAATGCGGAGTCCTAACCACTGGACCGCCAGGGAAGTCCCCAGAAATGATACACTGATTGCTCTGTGTACATGGTTGGGTTACTGATAAAGAGGGAAGAATTACTACATTCAGGTGTGGGGTGGAGGGAAGACAGATCACCTTTTCTATACCTGTTTGTACCAAATTCTGGAAATTATCTTGGTATGAATCCTTAACCGCTGCCCTCTGAATTGTGGGGTTATCATTCCCATTTCACACATACTGAGGCCAAGGCTCAGAGGACCCAGGTGACTCATTCAAAGCCACACAGCTTGTGAAGGGCAAGAGCCAAGGTCCAAACCCATGTGTCACAGACTCCCCATCCACACCTTGCCAGATGGGGGGGGTATAGAAAGTCCTGGAAAAGCTGCACAAGAGAGGCTTATCTTTGATTGAAGGGATCCAGGGAAGATGGGCTTCATGGTTTTTAACAGGTTATTGGGGATTATTTGTGATTTCTCCAAGAGCAGCATCCCTCTGAAGTTTGGAAACAAACAAACATCCTGTTGTGTATAATTCACAGCTCTTCACTGTAGATTGCTTTGTAGACAAGGTCTCCTTTCCAAGATTTGAATAAGTCTGTCTTTTTTTTTTTTTTTTTTTTTTTTTTGCGGTACGCGGGCCTCTCACTGCTGTGGCCTCTCCCGTCGCAGAGCACAGGCTCCGGACGCACAGGCTCAGCGGCCATGGCTCACGGGCCCAGCCGCTCCGTGGCATGTGAGGTCTTCCTGGACCGGGGCACGAACCTGTGTCCCCTGCATCGGCAGGTGGACTCTCAACCCCTGCACCACCAGGGAAGCCCCTAAGTCTGTCTTTTGAGGTGCTCATTTTTAACTTTTCTGTGTATGGTCATTAGCTACTCGAACATTCTTTGTGTCTTCCTCAGTCAGTGTATGAAGCATTGTGATGAAGTGTCTTTTGAAAATCAAGAATGGGAGACACTCTGCACCCCAGTGTATTATAAAGTCCTTGTCCTGTGGATCAGGACTTCATAATACACTGTGACCAGGACACTGTAATGAGAGGCAGCACTCTGAGCTGGAGCACCAAGTTCAAGTTCTCCAATGGGAAAAGAACAGACCAGTGGGGTCTTAGAGGGGTTTAGAGTCAACACAGATACCCACAGTCCAAGTTCAGCTAAGGAAGCAACATCAGTCAATGGCCTCTTCAAACCAGGAGCCCCAGGGCCAGCCCAGACCAGTGAGGAAGCAGGTGCTGCCTGTAGGCAAATCCCCAGCACCACCGAGGGAGAGGCTTCCTGGTCCCCAGTGCTAGGCAGGACCTGCTTCTCCCCTCGCCTGAGCTCTTTCTGTGGGGATCAGCCAGCCTTTCCCCAGTAAATTCCACTCACCCCCGAGATTGGGGTCTACTGGAAATGTAGCCACCTGACTGGCCTCCCCTAAATTTTCTTTAATCCTTAGGATCCTGAGGCTAAGGATTTTTTTTTAATTCTTTTTTAAAAAATGAAAATAATACATAAGCTTTTTAAAATTTAATTCTTTTTTTAAAATGAAACTGATACATAAGCTTGGAAAAGGTGAGGAAGAAAGGAAGGAACTTTAAAAATATAGTATAAAAGGTTTTAAACCAAATGTGAAAGTCTCCTTCACTCCCCGCTTCTGTTTCCCAGATTTAAGCAGAGTTGATAGTTTCCTTTGTATCTTTGGAGAAGTTCTATCCATAATATATGAATATGTGTAAGCCTTCTTAAAATTTATGTGTGATTTTTACTCCTCCATGTCTTACCTTTTTAATTTAATATATATTACAGATCTTTCCAGAACATCTGTGCAGATCTACCTCTTTATTTTCTCTTCATTTATTTATTTTATTAGGATTAAATATAAAAATATATCAGTGAGATATGGGTGTTCTGAACTCTTAAGTGTCTAACAACATAGCTAAAAGTAAGTGAACACCAAACTTGGCAGAATTACCAAGAGAAATCGATCGATCCATAATTAGAGTGATGACCTAACCAGGTCTTTCAGAAACTGATGCAGGTCAATAGGCCAAAAGCAAAGAATAATGACATAGGAGGTTTGAATCACCCCATTAACGAGTTGGATTGAGTGGAAATATGAGGGACTCTGTATTCAACAGAGAGTGCACATTCTGTACACAGTCTCATGGGATGTTTAGAAAAGCAGGCATATACTTGCTGTAAAGGAAATCTCACTGCTAATCTTGTGGTTGTAATTTCTGAAGTGGCTTTGTCGTTTCCCTCTCTTTCTTTCCTGAGTTAGTTCTACCAGTTCCTATTTCACATCTGCCTATTTTCTGACCATCTAAACTGAATTCCTTTATTTCTGCTTTATGTTCTTCTTTCTTAGCTGTAATTGCTTTGTAAAGACTTGGCTGCTTTCTTTTTAATTCATGATGGAAATGAAATGTGGGGTCTAATTTTCGTCTGCTCATGGCAGCATTTTTCAGGTGAAATTTTATCATCCCTCGTGAAGGTGGGCTTCTCTCTTTCATCATTTTTCATATGCTGTCTTTGCAGGATGCTGAGCTTATTCCGCAGGACTATCAGGAATCATGTCCTTTCCCCGCTTTGCTTTTCTCAGTCATGCTTAATAACATCTGATACAGATGGGTGTGCTTCTATAATTTACTTGACAGATTGTCTGACTCACTAGTTTGAAAGGAACGGTTTGTGTCTCTTTGACTCACAGCTGACCCTGGTAGCTAAATCAGTACCTTATACGTAGTCAGTACTCGATAAATATTTGTGGAATAAATTAGCACCAAAAAAAAAAAACCAGATCTGGAATTAAATTGGTCATCTCAAAGCCCATTTATTAAGGTTTTAATACATTATTACAGGAAGCGTGGAAGCCAGGAATCTGAGGGAGGAGGGAACCCACTGTTTGTCTAAATAATCATCTCCACACTGACTCCTGAGTGCCAGGGGGAATGTGCTTCATATTAAGGCGTTGAGCCCCTGCTCTCTAACACACTGCTAGTAGAATATAAAATGCCTCTTCCGCTGTATGGGGAAGGTTTGGCAAGATGCACGTGCCAGTTGATGTAGCCGTTTGGACTCTAAGAATTTTTCCCATAAAAGTGGTCACACAGCCTGCACAGTCGTGTGTATGGTAAGAAAATCTTAAATAGCTGTCGTTTGAGGTTAGCGTTCAGAGCTGGCTCCATACACCTCAGGGGTGCATTTGATGACCCCTTGAAACAGGGCAGAACAGTCACAACTATTTATATTTATTTTCTAAATAAAAGATAGAAATTCAGCTTCACTAATATTTATAATTAGAATGACTCTACACCATCGCTCAATCAGCAGTTTTGGGTCAGATGGTCAGTTAGACACTGAATTTGCAGGGGAAGGAGGACAGAAGTTCCCATCTCACTTGTTGATTTGTTTTTAACATATGACTGCTTTTTGCAGTTTCCATGTGTCCAGTTGAGTGGATTTCTAGATTATTCTCTAATTCGATATTATAAAGGCACAAACAGCCTCAGCCGTTTCAGGACATGACCCTCACTCTTCCAGGGACGTCCTGGCGGAAGGAGCAGACGGAGGACCTGCAGCGGGTGCTCAGGACCGTGGACCCCGAGATCCCACTGGTCCTTGTCAGCGGCAACCATGACGTGGGCAATGTCCCCACCCCCGAGACCATCGCGGAGTTCCAGCGGACTTGGGGAGATGACTATTTCAGCTTCTGGGTTGGGGGCGTCCTGTTCCTCGTCCTCAACTCCCAGTTCTTTTACGATGCCTCCATGTGCCCTACCTTGAAGCAGGCCCAGGACCAGTGGCTGGACCAGCAGCTGAGCATCGCAGGGCAGCGGAAGTGCCAGCACGCCATCGTCTTCCAGCACATCCCGCTGTTCCTGCAGAGCATCGACGAGGACGACAACTACTTCAACCTCACCAAGTTGGTGCGGAAGGAGATGGCAGACAAGTTCTCCCGAGCAGGTAGGCCTGGGACCCCAGGTGTCTGGGTGATCTGGAGAGGAGGTGTCCAGATCCTTCTCCTGCCCCTCTGCGGCCTGGCAAAGGGGAGAGAGGATGGGGCTTTGGGCAGGACTGGATTCTAATCCCAGCTCTGGCACTCATGGCTGTGTGGCCTTAGATGAGCTGCCTTGCCCTCCGAGCCTCAGCTTCCTCGTCTGTGAAGTAGGAGTAGCAGAAGCAGCTCTCTCGTGGGGTGGCTGTGAGGATTCAGTGAGAAGGGGCCTGGACAGGATTAGAACAGCCCCAAGCTGAGTACTGAAGTCATAGCTGCTCACAGCTGAGGATGGGGACCCTGCAGGTTGGGGGTTATTGGGGGGTGGGGGGGCCGGGCGGGTCTGGTCTGAGTGTGGCTGTATGTGCCCCAGGCAAAGGAAGACACCAGGAGTATCTCTTCTCATTTCTCTGGGAAGCAGGAACTTGCCCAAGGGCAGATGATAAGAGCCAAACCCTACCAGTATTAGACGTACCCCGGGAAATCCTGGAACGTGGCTCTAGGGCAGGTCCTGGAGCCTCATCAGTGTTCCTTTAGTGAGGTGGACTGAGTCCTCCTCCAGAAGTAAGAGCAGAAATCTGTTTAGTCGGACCTTAACCCTGCTGTGAACTTTAAGCTAATCATACATATGACACATACGTGAGCACACACACACACACACACACACAATGAGGACACTCCATTTCTAGAGATCTCAATTCCGGTGGCGCTGTGTGCACCGCCAGCCCACACACCTCATTTCTCCTCCTGGGAGCACCTGCAGCTTTCCTCTCACGAGAAATGGTGCGTTCTCAGCCGGTTCCCTGCGTTACCACTGCCTTGGCAGGATTGCAGTTCTGACGGCTGCTGTGTCTCTTGTTTTGGCCCTAATGCCTCCTTTCAGATCTTTCCAGAGCGTACTTCATCAGACACCTCTAAAATATAAATGCATTCTTTTGTCTCTTAGGGGGTAGGGAGAGGGAGAGGGCCTGGCCCAATAAGTAGCAAGCATCCATTAAAAAAAAATCCTGGCACTCTTTTCACCTTTGATCATTAAATGTGTTCACATTTACTTGTGAAAAGTACAATAGGCCCTTCTGTATTTTCGAGACATTTTACAAAAAGCTTGCATAATTGGAGACGTTTTCCAACTGTTCCATGGAGATGAAGTTGGAAAACTTTTATCAAAGCCTTTGAAATTTTATGCCATGCTTGAGTTGGTGCAGAAAACCAACTTTTTTTGTTTTTGTTGACAAGGAAATGAAGTGTCAAGATGGCATCAGCACCACCACGGAGACTATTTTGTAACAGAGAATAACGCCGGAGAGAACACTTAGTGCCACTGAAATGATTCCTTTTATATCAGATGTTAAATGATGCAAGTGCCATCCCCATGGCTGCTCTTTGTTGTCAGCCACATCCTTGAGTGGCATGGGGTTCTGGGTTTCCCACTGTAGGACGGAGCACATGCAGTCCAGGAGCAGCCCCAGATACTGAGACCTGGAGACGTTTATAAAGAGGGCGATCCCAGCTCTAACAGTGCATCCTCGGGGGAATCCTGCTGCCCACCCACCAGGAACCCCAGAGGGTGACATCGCATCTGGGATGCACCAGCCACCTCCCCCGTCAGGCCTGCAGCCCTGTAAGCTCAGGGAGGATTTGTCGGCACCCCCAGAGCTGGCCTGTGTCTCGGAGGTGGGCTCCAATTGCCCCAGCTCACAGAGACTGATATCTACCACCAGAATGGCATTTTATTAATTTAAAAAAAAATTTTTTTAAACATCTTTATTGGAGTATAATTGCTTTACATTGGTGTGTTAGTTTCTGCTTTATAACAAAGTGAATCAGCTATGCATATACGTATATCCCCATATCTCCTCCCTCTCGCATCTCCCTCCCACCCTCCCTATCCCACCCCTCTAGGTAGTCACCAAGCACGAGGCTGATCTCGCTCTGCTGTGCGGCTGCTTCCCATTGGCTGTCTATTTTACATTTTATTAATTTAGAGCAAGGCTGAAATCCTCCCCTTAACCCTAGCAGTGCAGTCTCTTCCCGTAGGCAAAATAGCATGGGAGGCCCAGTTATAATCAGGAGGTTGCTTGCCGAGCATGAGACAGAGCAGAGGGACTAGTTTTCTTATCTGCTCTTTATTTTTCAACAGAAGTATACTTGATTTACAATATTGTGTTAGTTTCAAGTATACAACATAGTGATTCAGTATTTTTGCAGATTATGCTCCATTATAAATTATTACAAGATATTGGGTATAATTCCCTGTGTTGTACAGTATATCCTTGTTACTTATGTATTTTATATATAGTGGTTGGTATCTGTTAATTCCATACCCCTAATTTATCCCTTCTCCCTTCCCTCTCCCCTTTGATAACCACAAGTTTGTTTTCTATGTCTGTAAGTCTGTTTCTGTTTTGCATATACATTCATTGGTATTACTTTTTAGATTCCACATATAAGTGATATCATATAGTATTTGTCTTTCTTTGTCTGACTTATGTCACTGGGCATAATAGTCTTTAGGTCCATCCGTGTTGCTGCAGATGGCAGTATTCCTTCTTTTTTATGGCTGAGTAATATTCCTGTGTGTGTGTGTGTGTGTGTGTGTGTGTGTGTGTGTATATCACATCTTCTTAATCCAGTTGTCTATTGATGGACACTTGAGTTGCTTCCATGTCTTGGCTACTGTAAATAATCTTATCAGCTCTTAATGGCCTCTGGTACTGGAACTCTGATGGATTCTTCTCCAGTAGGGCCTCCTTGCCCAAGAAGATTGATACTTCATGTGCCTTTAATTCTACCTCTTTAATAGCTCTCCAGCCTGTCCACTTCTTTAGGCCACCATTGCCTCTCAGCTGGGTGGTAGCAACAGCTTTGACTTGGTCCCCCTGCCCGACTCTTGCCCCATTCTGGTCCATTCTCCACTACATCCAGAGGTGTATGTAGCCCAACAGCATCTACCCTTCTGAGGCCCCTTCATACATAGGATAAGGCTGTCCTCACCCTTTGTCACTGTCTCTGCCTCTTCCATTTCATCTGGCCAACGCCGCCTCAACTTTCTGTATGAGGTGCCCCCAGCCCTGCCCTGCCAGATTCTTCCTCAGCTTCCCTTGCTCCCAGTGCATTTGTAAGTGTCAACCTGTCTGAAGCCCCCCTAGACTCTCAGCTCCTTGAGTGCAGGGGAGGCCTGGCTCGGGTCTTAGCCTTATTATAGGCTAATCATCAGTGTTTGTGGAATGAGTGGAGGATGAACCTCTGATGCAGGCTCCTTCCCTCAGTGGCCAACCAGCCCAGCTCATTTCTCTGTTTAGCACCCACTGTGCACCTGGCACAGAGCAGACCAGGTCCCACTTGGTGGAACTCCTGGGCACAGCCTCTGCGTGGTGTGTTCCCAGTGTTGGGCACACATCATGCAGCCTCCTGGTCCTTCGGTTTTGGGTCAGGTCATGCGTGTGACTCTGCTCTGACCCACATGCTGACTTTCCAGGCTCACCCAGCAGTCAGTTGCTCTCTTCCCAAGTGGCCCCCTGCTGTTCCCATCAGGTACCACCTTCACTTATAGGCAGGCGTGCTCTTCTTGGTCACTGGCCTTAGGATCTTCCCTTAGACCTGATTGACCAGGCAAAAGCAGAGAGAAGAGTGCCCTTCCTGCAGTCACCTGTCAGTTTGAGTGGCTTCCCAAACCAGGCCCTTTGCTTAATGGCCTTTCAAACTCAGAACAAAGCATCGGCAGCGTTGGGAAGATATCGGGATCAGATGCAGTCACAGCTCCGTGGCAGCCTGAGGGGCCAGCTCGGTTTGGGAGCACAGGTAGGTGGGCTCTCATGGGGAATGCAGGCCCCCACGACTCAGTAATGCTGGAGATCGCTCAGGTCACAGCCATGTAGTTCTTGAACTCATTTTGGAAAGCCAGAAGTTCAGGTGACATTCTGTGAAATTCATTAACTTAAAGACCATGATCAAATTGGGGGTGATGATGGCAGACGGTATTTAATACTGCCTCCAGCTTTTTTTCCCCACAGCAATATTATTCCCTAATACTATTTCAGTCTCATTTATCTCCTTGTGCTAAAATGCCAGTACTCAAAAATATGTCAAAAACTTATCAGAATATCAGGGTAGCTTTTAATTATGATAATTGTGTTGTTATAAAATATCCTTTTAAAGAGCACATCCCTCCTCAAACCACCATGGAGGTAACACCCAGCTTCCTTCCAGCAAGCTTAATGAATAATTCTGAATCATTGTGTGGGATGAATAAATGATTTAATAATGAGCATCAACAATCATCTCACATTGTGGCATTAATTTTCTAAACGGGATGAGGTAAATGAGGAGGAGGGCTGTTACTATACAATGGGCCACCATGTGTGTAGGGATGCGTTCTTTGAATCAAAGCCTCCAGCCTCCGAGCTCAGGTTTCCCTAGAAACAGATGCATTCTGTTTCTCCTTTTGAAGCTCAATGAAAAAACCTTCTCTGTATGATGCGAAAATGTTGTCAATAGCCAGTACAAATAAACAGTTATCGGGGCAGGACAGATGCACAGATGTGAAGCGGCACAGTTATTTTCCATCTTCTTTGCTCTGCCTGAGGATAATCAATTTCATCACATCCACGGGATGTAGAAATTGGTTTTCCCCTTAATTCACCTGATACCTAGTTGGAGTTACAAAGACAGTAGATAATGAAATCTTGGTCGAACCTCCTGGCCATTGTCTGTATCCCTCATGCCTTTTTCAGCAGAAGGTTAATATGTGACCCAGTTAATACAGATTACAATTTAAAAACTCAATCTTAAAAAACAGAAGTCTGGCTCTTTAACTGACCCTGTTTCCCTTGATGTCTCGATACCTTTTCTTTTTTCCATTCTCAACATAGAGATTAGAACTGTGTAGTAGAAAGCCCAGAGTGAATTTGGCAATTATGAAAAATTCCAGTAAGTTGATCTTTCCTGTAAAAGCTAATGAGTAATTTCA